CCAAACATTTAACTCTTAGATTCCTAATGATTACAAACTTGCCAACTCACTCTTATTTGGTAAAAATGTCAAGCCAAACTCATCATAATTCCTTTCTCCAATTCAAATTAAAAATATCTGTAATTACATATGAACATGAAATACTACTAGCTAGTTTTTTTTATATATAATTTGTAGCAAAAAGGATTTTAAATATCGAAAGTAAGTTATTGCATAAAAGAAATATAATACAATCATTACGTAAAAATAATTACCCAACATACACCCATATATATATATATATATATATATATAACCATTTTTTTTAAAATACGGGGTATTACAGGGAAGAACTTTAATACCTAGACCAAAGTCCAATTCGGCCATGAAACACCTGAAAATCTCCTCGATCCGTCGGAAACCCTAAGAATGGGTGTTCCCGTTTCGACCCCAAGATGAACTCTGACACCTCAACCACTGCTTAGGCTTTGTTCCTAAGGTTGAAAGGAGTCTATTGGTGATGGTGGTTGACGGAGTTAGCTTTCGGTTTGGTGAATTGCCGCCAAGAACCTGTCGCATCCAACGTATTGTTTTTCGCAAAATCAAGGCCAAATTCCGTTGGTTTTTTAGTGGAAATGGAAGAGGAAAGGATGCTAGGTTGATTCCAGGGGGTGAGTAGTTTCAATTCACCGGAAAATCACCATGAAAGCGTCGGGAATCATGGATTCCATCAGATCGGGTCGCGGGTCGAAGGGAAGCGACCGGGTCGACTGGTTCCCCCCTCTCTCCTTCCCTCCTTTCCCGTCCCTTTCCGTCCTTTCCTTCCCTCCTGATTGGCCCGTCTCTCACTTATTTCCCTCCTTTATCTCCTCATCTCTTCATCCTAGCCACACACGTGGCACCAAATCAGTGCTCCAGCAAATCTAGAGCCTTCTAGGTAATGGTCAAATGACCATTTTGCCTCTATCTTTGCTCGTTTATATCTCATTCGTTATAGCTCCATTTGGCGAACGATTTTGGCCTACGCACTCGTGAGGTCGAGCTCTATCCAAATATATAAATAAAAGTGACAAAACATATAGGAATTAAATACGTCCTCGAAAAGTCCATTTAGTTCATTAAGGGCGTTTTTGTCATTTTACTTATAAAAAAAATATACACCGTAATTACAAACGCGTTGAAACTAAGAATACGAAATACATAATTTTAACTAGTGAAATTCAGCGATGGGATTTCATACATACAAAACAATAATAGAAAATAAATTTTAACTGCAAGTACACGAACTAATGTACCGTAAGAGCGGCGATTGGTTTGTCATAAAACTCAAAACACATTCAATAAACTTAAAGAAATAATCTTAGTGGAGTAGAATCCCAGTGAGGCAGCCTGCGACTCTGACAGAATAGCTTCCACCTCCATAGATACAGATAGTTGAAAAACAAAGTATAGAGGAGAAAAAACGTAATTAAGGTAGAAAAAGTATACTTTGTTTTTCAACTTTCTATATCTATGGAGGCATAAACACGTTTTGAGTTTTATGACAAATCAATCGCCACTATTACGTACGGTATTCTAATAAGAGAAGGATCACTTCCTTGTAATTAGAATTTTCGATCTTCGTATTACATTAGTTCGTTAAGTGTGATTGCAGTTAAAATTTATTTTCTATAAATTTAATTGTTTTGTATGTGACTATAGAATAATTGTAAAATTTTAGAATAAACGAGCCAGCATGGACAATCTTTTTAATATTTACTTAAGGGTTCAGTCAAATAGTTTCAGAATGGCTTACGTAGAAAACATTAATCCATGCATCAATATTAACACTGACATTTGCTCTAGTGACATGTAGTAACATATCTAATTACATATATCATATGTTCTGTCCACCGCCACCAATTGGTGGGGTTCTTTTAACCGTCACCCTCGAATTCAAATACAAGAGAAACAGCTGAACACAAAAGAACAACATAAAAATTCGGAGGAGACAAATATAAGTCTTCAAATAGAAGAGAATTGCCCATAAACAAAAGACTAGCCAATAAATTTAGAGAACACAAATCGGAGACGTCTTACGAATAAACTCCCTGCGAAGTAAGTTGGTCACTTTGATTTGCACCTGCTTTTATTTATTTTTTTATCGATTTATAAGCTTGTAAGAGATAACTAGCTACAACTTCATATGCTTCCACAATAACTTATTTTAAATAATGGCAGTTTAGTAATCAAGTTAGTTTTAATTCTGATTCAAGTGAACTAGTAAACAATTTACATGGAACCAATATCATTCATACTCATTTTCTAGTTAGTTTAGTAAACAACTTTAAAAAGAATCGAATTATGCTTCATCCTCAATCAAATTCCTCCTTAATTCAATTTCTCTCAATCTAATTACGAATTAGTAAACGAGCCATAAGTGTCATGTAGGGCTGGTTCGGATCAGGATCTCGAACCGAAAAGGTAAAATTGAATCTTGAACTGATCCCTTCAGGACAAATTTTGAAAACTGAAACTGAACCAAAATTTTGGAATTTTTGAAAAAATTTCAGTATGGTTCGGGAGTATGATTCACTTTGTACGAATTAGATGCGAAGTCATGTGAATTGATATTTGACACATACAAATCCGCATCAGACTCTCCCTGAGGACTTTCATCAAAACCATAAATTTCAAAACAAATGCCTCGATTTTGGGGTTTGAGAGTCGCTAGATCGAAAATGAGAGAGATATGAGAGGCGGAGTTGAGAACTTGAGAGAGAGTATGGTGTGGACGATGTGGTGGTGAGAGGGTATGATGTGGTGGCTGTAGTCGAGAGTCGGAGAAGGTGGGCGGAGGAGAGGCAAGAGTCAAGAACTCGAGAGAAATGAGAGAGGGTTCAAGAAGAATCAATAATGTAACACCATGAATGTGAGAAACTAAGAGAGATTGAGAGATTGAAATTGGATGGTTGAGATACCAATCTGATGGTTGACATAATTCCTAAATCTTAATTTAAAATTAAAAAAGAAAAAGAAAAAGAAAAAAAAAAAAATATATATATATATATATATTATAATATGTTCCGGTTTAGTTTGGAATTACCGAACAAATGCCTATGTGAGGCCTAATTCCGTACTGAACTGTTTAGGATCGGTTAGGTTTCCACTACCCAACGTGACAAGATTTTGATTCGAGCCTTTTTCAGTACGGAACTGGTACGGTTCAGAATTTTCGCTAGAGAGATTATATTCACACATCCCAAATTACTTCTCACACGACCTTTTAATTTTTTAATATTTTTCTACAAGTGTTAGTGGTGTGTCAAAAAATATTAAAAAAATAAAGGTGTAGGAGAAGTAATTTGGAGTGTATGAATATAATCTCTATTTTCGAGAGATTTTTCAATGTGATAGAACACAGAATGATACACCACATTTGAATTTCGGTACGGAATCATTAAGAGAGTCGGTGAAACTTTTATTAAGTGGTTTTAGCTCATCGTGCGGCAAAGAATGCAGTTTTAATATCATACAAACGGAAGTGCAAAACCTACAAGAAATAATGAACAAAAAACTAACCCGAAATGCATGGACCATGTAGTTGTCATATGCGTGATAAAACCTGAAAGGAGGGAAACAACAAAACATAGACATTGTATCAGATACTGTTGTGCAGAAGTTTCAAATATGAAACTAATAAACTAATACTAAAAAATATGACATGATAAACAATTCAAATGACACAAGTATTTATATGCCTACATCCAATTCAGAAACGGCGAGGAAATTCCATTAATAATCAGAATGAAGATTATGGATAAAGTTTAACTCTCAAATCCCAAATCCTATGTACACCTAATGGTTCTCACTCAAAAAAATACAAATAGAAAAGATAAAAATACATACCAAATCTTTTCTCTCCAAAAGCCACAAAAAATAGTACCAATATCTTTATATGAGTGATTACCAACAAATGGAAGCATTTCTTCCTTTGTCTTCCAATAGAGCAGCTGCTGCCCTTTAACCCTAGATAGTCACAGCTCCATTATGGGCAATTAAACAACCAACCAACTTGGGCTTGACACAAAATAGAAAGGCCCGACTGCTCAATTGAAATGGATTGATAACTAGATGTATGAAATTAAAATGTATTAAAGACGTTTTATGAAGTTGTAATTGTAACCAAATTTAAAGGTATAAAATGTAGCTTACCCTAATTAAATTGGTAAATAACTCCACCACATGAGTATGATTGACACTTTTTACTATATAGATCATCTCTTGAGACATTTCTATAACCACATCGTTAGCCTAGGTAATATCACCATACAATTAAGTTGATTCTGAAATTGAACAAATATATACGGTTCGTTTGGAAATACTTTTAAAATAAATAAAAGAGATTTTTGGAGAATTGTTTTAAAAGTACTTCAAGTGTTTGTTCAAGATTAACTTGCATTTTCATTAATGATTGGTTTCAAAAATATTTTCACTAAAAATGCTTTCAGTCATTTTAAAAACACATTCAAACAAGCTCACAGTTTTGATCAAGATGATTGATAGATATGTCCATCATATATTTATGTAGGTATATTCTGTATTTCATGTTTGCTTCACAAGAAATCGAATGATTAAACTGTATAGCAGTTAAATTTCGATTTCTGTTGTACGGATATAATCTTGACAACAATCATATGTCATTCAACAACGAATTGGAGGCTGCATGCATGACTCTATGATCATTTGCATGCCTGTTCTCTCTGGTCTAACGCACTCCTCGCTCAAATAAAAAAACCAAAACTACATGCAATGCAAAAATAGTAGACAAAAAACCACAAATGCACACTCAAATGTCAAATCCAACAACAATTCCATGCAAAAATGGAACGCAAACTAATTTAAACAGTTCTTTTTTCTCTCAACCCTTCCTTTGCATGCACGGTAGTTGTACGTAGTAACAACACATCAAATCCCCTAAAAACCCTCCCATCCACAAATCAAACACGCACCCCCCCTTCTTCCCCTTTCCTCCATTTTTCTGAAACCTACTATACATAATTTGCCTTCTCTTTCCAACTTCCATTCAGGAAAATCTCAGAGGAAGAAGCAGGGTCTCATCACAAGCCCTGAGATCTTCTTCTATCGTCGTCATCGTCTCTCTCTCTATCTCTCTCTCCCTCTCTTCCTCCAACAACATGGCTATTCCTATACTGCTGCTTCTCTTCTTCTCCATTCCCTTCTCCGAATCGCAACTCACCAAGGATTACTACAAGCAAACATGTCCAGACTTTGAGAAGATTGTCAGAGACACCGCGTCCCAAAAGCAAGCCGCCCAACCCACCACCGCTGCAGGAACTCTCCGCCTCTTCTTCCACGACTGCATGGTTGAAGGATGTGACGCCTCCGTTCTCATTGCCTCCAACCATGTCAACAAAGCTGAGCGCGATGCTGACATCAACCAATCCCTGTCAGGAGATGCGCTTGAGGTGGTAGTCCGCGCCAAGACCGCCCTAGAGCTTACCTGCCCGGGGATTGTCTCGTGCGCAGACATTCTCGCCGAGGCCACACGTGACCTTGTCACGATGGTTGGTGGGCCTTTCTACTTCGTCGAGTTGGGACGAAAAGATGGACAGGTTTCCCTTGCCTCCAAGGTTAACGCAAACTTGCCAAGAGCAAACCAAACCATGGATGACATCATCAAATTCTTCGCCGCTAAGGGTTTCACAATTGAAGAAATGGTTGCTTTAAGTGGTGGACACACAATTGGGTTCTCTCATTGCATCGAGTTCACTGACAGGCTTTTCCATTACAGCAAGACTACTCCAACAGACCCAGAAATCAACCCTAGATTCGCCGAAGGCTTGAAGATGACATGCGCTAACTACACAACTAATCCTGCCATGTCCGCCTTCAACGACGTGATTACACCCGGAAAATTCGATAACATGTACTATCAAAATCTGAAGAGGGGTTTGGGGCTGTTGGCATCGGACCATGCACTTGTTAAGGACCCGAGGACGAAGCCTCTTGTGGAGTTGTACTCTACTGACCAGGCGGCATTTTTCAAGGCTTTCTCTCTTGCAATGGAGAAGCTTGGACGTCATGAGATTAAGACCGGGAATCAGGGAGAGGTGAGGCGCAGGTGCGACACGTTTAACTCGCTTCAGGCTTAGATTATATATTCATTAAGGATGAGGTGAAGAAGAGAAGAAGAAGAAGATGACGGTGAAATGAGGGGAGAGGTTTCACAAATCTTTCTGTTTTAATTCATCACTACAGAAACAAGAGAGAATTTTCGCAAATCTTTCTGTTTTAATTCATCACTACAGAAACAAGAGAGAGAGTTTTCACAAATCTTTCTGTTTTAATTTTATTTTACATTCTTTTCTTATTTTTTTCGATCTGTGACATGATGATGATGATGAAATAAAGATGGTTCAAATGTTCATGATTATATGATATTTGAGTATTCATACATTATACAATGTGACTTGAGATAGTGTTCTAGGAGTTATGATGAATGAGTTGGATTCTAGATCTCTCAAATCAATTGACAACTATATATGTCATCTCAAATGTTAAGTAATTGTCTGCTATGGTCAAATCATTATCGGGAAAAAGCCTTTGCGATCAAATTTATAGAGAGGCATGCAGGGAAACATCACATTTTTTTTCAGATTAAATACCAAACAAGGGATCTTCCATCCCTCAAAATTATGAAGAGTGATGTTGATTTTCAAAGTATGTTTTGTATTTTCATCATAATATCATTACAATTGTATAACAATATATAAGGAGATTGACCCCTTGATTTACACCACAAAGGTGGCTTAGGGAAGACAACCGACCAAATGGTTTAGGGAAGACAAGCTCCTTGAATTAAGGAGTTGACACAAAGTTGATTGACACAAAGTTGTGATTGACACAAAGTTGACACAAGGTTGACTGATATAAAGTTGTGATTGACACAAAGTTGATTGACACAAAGTTGTGATTGACACAAGGTTGATTGACACAAAGTTGTGATTGACACAAAGTTGACACAAGATTGATTGACACAAAGTTGCTTCCAATAAGTGAAATTGCCGATTTGAAAAAAAAACTTCGCAACCATAAATATAATATGGAAACAAAGTTTCACCTAGTGTGTGCCCAACTGAGGGAAAAAACTGAGGAAAACTAATGAAAAGGGCTTGAAAACTTTGAGTTTTAATGATAAAGACAAAATAAAGGGTAAAGTGAATAGTACCAGGATTGACTTTTTAGTGTAAAAATGTAATTTTTCGTTAAAATGAACAGTACCAGGTGCTTTTCGTTAAAGTTCCCAAAAAACTGAGCGGCAGAAAGTTATCAAAGAAACTTGCTGCTGTTACGGGGGAGGCGGAAAGTCTGCCCAACATAGTTAAGCAGTTCAACATGACGGGGCAAGGTGAGGCGGAAGATTGAGATAACATAGATGATGGGAAACTGAACGACTCGCTGAATAACCGGACGGTGACCCCCAACGATGATGGACATGGCAATGCCGGATTGAATGGAGCAGATACGAATATGGCCAAAGCAGCTGCATACGAAGACAATCCATGCGACATGGTATTCGGCCAGATGACATGAGTATACGATATTTGAGTATTTATACATTACAATGTGATTTTGAGATAGCTTTCAAGGAGTTGTGATGAAATCTTAAGAAATATAAAACAGCTTCATATGTGTACTTACAGGAACCCAAAGCCTTTGCAACCTCAAATACCTGCATATTGAAGATTTGAGCTTCAAAAGAATCGCATCAATTATGTATAGCAATAAGTACCGTGGTGTGTCCACCGGAAAGTCATCTTTCTGAAGTCGGAACATCAAAACACAAGACACATGGCTGCCTATCACCCATTTCACAATTCATGCTTGCCATTGCTATGTGTGATCTTATGATTTCCAAGGGAAAATGGAAACTTTTGGGAACAAAAATTGGATGTGGGGTTGCAGGAAGCATATTAGGGTTGAATAAAACTGAATCGAATTAATATAAGGCTGTAGAAGGCTAGCTATTGCCAACTAAACCGGGTAGTAGTTCTAACTGACAAGTTGCTTAATAGATACTTCTATTCAGTTAAGAATCGTCGATCGAGCTCAAAGTTGTTACTTGTTAGTCGGTTGTACACACCTCATAGAACTGTTGGACCATCATGTATAAATTTCCAGCCTTATTCGTAGTTCTTCATTCATTCAGCAAAACAAAACAAGTTTCTTCAAAATTGTTCCACTTTTCTCCTACCTATGTTTGATTTTCTATAACATTATTAACAACAAACCAAATCATTTCTCTCCCTCTCTAGCCAGCTATCTCTCAATCCATGGCTCTTCCAATCCTCTTCCTACTCTTCCTCGCCATTCCCTTCTCCGAATCCAAGCTCTCCATAGACTACTACAAAAAAACATGCCCCGACTTCGAGAGCATTGTCCGTGACACCGTGACTTCAAAACAAATCGCCAGTCCCACCACCGCGGCAGGCACTCTCCGCCTCTTCTTCCACGACTGCATGGTTGAAGGCTGCGATGCTTCCATCCTCATCTCCTCCAACTACGTTAACACTGCAGAGCGTGACGCCGACATCAACCAATCCCTCTCGGCAGACGCCTTTGACCTCGTGGCACGTGCCAAGACCGCCCTCGAGCTCGCCTGCCCCGGCATTGTCTCCTGCTCCGATATACTCGCCTTAGCCACCCGCAACCTCGTCACGATGGTCGGCGGTCCGTTCTACAAAGTCCGCTTGGGACGGAAAGACGGACAGGTTTCCAAATCTTCACTAGTGGAAGGAAATCTCCCAAGAAGCAACCAAACCCTAGACGACATGATCAAATTCTTCGCCACAAAAGGCTTCACACTCCAAGAAATGGTGGCTTTATCCGGTGCACACACAATTGGATTCTCTCACTGCAAAGAATTCGCCGACCGGATTTTCAATTACAACAAAACTACACCAACAGATCCTGACATGTACCCAAACTATGCTCAAGGGCTCAAGAAAATTTGTGCAGACTACAAAACGAACATCGCCATGTCCGCTTTCAACGATGTGATTACGCCCGGCAAGTTCGATAACATGTATTATCAGAATCTGAAGAGAGGGTTGGGGTTGTTACCTACGGATCATGCACTTGTTAAGGACCCGAGGACGAGACCTTTTGTGGAGTTGTACTCGACGGACCAGGCTGCCTTTTTCCAAGCTTTTTCTCATGCTATGGAGAAGCTTAGCCATCATGGAATTAAGACTGGACGTAAAGGTGAGGTCAGGCATAGGTGTGATGCGTTTAACTCGATTAACGCTTAATGTTGAAGAAAAATATTATCGTCACGAGATGTCATTAGCCACGGATTAAATTCACCGGAGAGTAAAAGTGAGGGAATATATATTTTTTTTATTCAATTGTCATATTATATAAACTTTTATGTATCATGGTGATGATAATGAAGATACATTGATGATTATATCATATTTGGGAGTTTGTCATATTTTCTAACACATACAGTACTCTGATTGAGGATTGTGGTCTACGTATACAGTAATTTTATAATTCCAAAGATTTTCAGGGTGTTGAGAACACAGTCTGGTACATCAAGTGTCATAATATAAGTAATTGGATATTTGAAAAAAAAAAATTCAATCACTTGTATTATGACACTTGTTGTACTTATTTCCCACTCACTAAAAATTTTGCTTATGACACATCATATTGAGAAATTTTATTTGGACCTAGTTATCTTATCTCTACACCCAATTAAGACATTTTCTCCATTAAACTTCCAAGTTTGCCCTTAAATAAATAACAATAAAAAAATAAACATTGGTGTTTTTATCTCTGCACCCAATAACTCAAAACCTAGCACACAACTGCACTCCTCCATTATTTCCGGCGAAACCCACCAAAGTTCTATCAAGATCACGAACGACCATGGGCTCCAAAATTTTCAATTGGGATTATTTATTGGAAATTTTAGGGGTAAATTATCAAGACCATATCCAGTAATATAATCGAAATTCAAGTAATGTAAAAATAGTTTCATCCACTTAACAATTTGGAGAACCCAAAAAAGAAAATAAGCAGAAGTTGCAATTCAAAACCACTTTTGTGAAGGAGAAGATGCGGGAAGCCATACCTGCCCCAGTAAAGGAGCTTCCATGGAGAAAAGCAGCAGATGCAACACTGGAGCAGCTGCTTCTGCTTGGAAAAGAGACATTCATATGGTCATATGTTACTTTGGGCACCCTCAGTTTCTTATCAGACATCATATTTTCCATCTCCAGAATTATAAATTGGTGATACCATTTGGTCTGTTTGTTGGGTGCTTCTTGAATGATGTTTTGAAGGAGATATTATAGGAAGTGCTTTCCAGGTTGGAGGTGAATGCCAATGGGATAGCAGTTTGTTTCGCTGAAAATAATGGAGGGGTGGTTGGTGCGCTAGGTTTTGGGTCATTGGATGTAGAGATAGAAACATTGATTTTTATTTTCTTATTAAATTATTTAAGGTTAAACTTGAGTGGATAAAACTTTTTAGTTGGGTGTAGAGACAAGATAACTGGGTTCAAATAAAAATTCCCCATCATATTTTATACCAGACAGTGTACCCGGCACACTAAAAAACTTAATTATATGTATCATGGTGATGATAATAAAGATATATTGATGATTATGTGATATTTGGGAATTTTTTCTCCTCCAAATAAATTATAATAAGGGATTTTTTTAATCAGAAATTACAAGGGGAGGTTAAATTAAACATTTTGTCGCAAGTGACTTGTAGCTTAGTTGGTTAAAAACATTCACCCATGCACCCGAGTTTCCGTATTTGAATTCCCCTTCCCGTAGTTTAACATTTTGTCCTTAGAAGAAGGCAACACATTGCAACTTTTACAATTTACTGACAGTAACGTAATAAAGGACAGGAGTTATCATGGGATTCCTTTCCTTGCTGGCTATCCCCTTTCTTGATGCATTTGCGGCAGAGCTTGCCGTGAGTATACAGAAGGCAGTTGAGGTCAAATTTGAGTTCGTTCGGGATCCATTGGTTGAGATGAAGATACGTCTTATTCCTGTCCGCTTCAGCTGGCACCCAACCAATAGCCTTTGCAATCTCGAACACCTGCATTTACCAAATTGAATGCCAAAACTCGAAAGAAAAAAATGCATAAATGTATATGATGGTAAAGTATTTGAACCATCATACTAACTCACATGAGTGTCCACCGGAAAATCGTCTTGCTGAAGCTGGAACATCAAAACACAAGCCACCTATCATCCATTTCACCAGTGTTATCTAAAGCCATTTAAATGAGTGTATGCTCTATATTTATCAACTCATACAACAACATAAAACAAAATCGAAATGTAGATTATGGCTTATATCGAGGCTTAGATGATACGGAAGAAGAGAGTTGTTACGGTTTTTCTCATGTTTATCTGCGTTTGAGCGATATTTAAAGAAAGCACACGATGAAGGTGTTGAGAGCACTTAATTTATCACTACATTAGCGATGAACTAAAAGAACAATTAACTACAACAGAATGAATTGAATGTAAAGCAGCTCAATGCGAACAGATGAAAAGAAAGCTTACCGTCTTGGGACCGATTCCTTTGAAACAAGATAGCTCGGACTTAATTTCGTCAACTGACAACTCTCTCAAGTACTCCAAGCACAACTTTTCTTTCTTCTCCAGTAAACACCTCAACATGTTCTTAATACACGACGTTTTAGTCCTGGCTAGGCCTCCACATCGTATGGCATTCTCTATGGAATTTGAATCAGCACCAAGAACCTTGATCGGAAAATCAAAGCACACAATTCAAAACCAATGCAGACGATTCAAAATCAATGCAGGCAATTCAAATTGTAAGTCTAAATCTCACTTACCACAAACCCAAAACAAAATATTCGAAAATTTTAAATGGTGAACCAACCAAAACAGAAATAATATCAGATGATAAAACCAACTTAATGAAGTCCTAAATACTTCAAAGTAGATGAAATTATAGGGAAACTAGTTTAAGGGCCAGTGCGTATATGGAAGTGCTTCTCCAGAACGAACTTCCATTTTTATTAAAAAATGTCCACACGTTTACAATAAAAGCACTTCTAACAGAAGCACTAAAAGTGCTTTCTGCGAGCAGTTCAAACTAGGAAAGTCTCCAAGAACCCAATAAACCAAAAGAAGAGAAAATTAACTACAACAAACAGAACCCATCAAATATTAGCTCCAAAAGCATACAATCCCACCATTATCTCCTAAATGCAACCACACCCAGAATTCCAAAACCATCAAAAGCTCAAAAGGAAAGCAGAAAGCTTACATCTTCCCAAGTCGGAAAAGCTGATTTGAGAGAAGCAAAAGCCTTTTGGGAATTGACTTCCGTGGTGTTCTGCGACAGCAGCGTCCTCACCAACCCATCCAAAACACTCTCTTTCCGATCTGACGGCTCTGAATTCATGGCGCCGTCGGTTTCAAGAGCCATCAGTCTCTGCTTTCTGTACTCGGCGAACTCTTCCGGGAAGCCGTGGAAGGCCAAGAGGTCGTCGCGTACGGACAAGCATTCTTCTCCGGTGGGTCGGGGGTGATTCGGGTATGGGTCCTTTGCCGTCGATTTGAAGGGATTGGCGGTTTTGGCTGATTTGGTTGCGGATTTTGGCTTCTGCTCAGCCTCCACGTGCTTTCTTTTGCGAGTTTTCGGCATTTTTTTGTTGTTGTAGAAGCTCTGTTCTTGTCGTGAGAGACATGGTGATAGACGTTTATGGGCCCGTTGGATTTGTCTGTGGCCCGATCGGTATTTGATGAATTGGGCCTAATTGGATCAGTTCATTGGGTCGTCCAATATCTAGTAGGTCGAGCTTTGCTCTCCTACACATTAAAAGGCAATAGAGAACAGTTGAGATTTAATCATTTAACTAAATTATATTTAGTTAAATCTCAACCGCTCACTAGGGATTGGCAAAATATCTGTCGGTTTGGGTAACCGTGGTTATCTGTCTATTTAAAGTTCACCGTTACAATTATGGGTAACCGTTTAGACAAACAAACGGTTATGGGTATAACCGTTTATCTGTGAAATTTAAATGGACTGTTATGGGTTTACCTGCGATTATAAACGGGTATCCATCGGTTATGGGTATTACCCACGGTTATAACGGGTATCCATTTGCCCATTTAATTTAATATATGTAAAATTACCCATTATTTTTCAAAATCTTATTATTATTATTTTTTTAATGAAAATACTCAAATGTAATTATGTAATAAATTGAGGGGCAAATATGTAATAAGTGAGGAGCCCTTATTCTATAAATGACTCATCACTCTCCTCATTAAGAGAGGCCAATTCTTAGGCCTGACTCCCACCCTCAGAAGCCTCACTCTCCTATTCAGAGGCTCTCTCTCCCTCTCAGAGAAATACAATATCAGTGTGGACGTAATCCAAACATTGGGGTGAACCACGATACATCTTGTGTTCTTTACTTTCTTGCAGATTCACGGTATGATTTATGTTGTTTCAAGACCCTTCCGGTTTTGTGCATCAACATTTGGCACCATCTGTGAGAATCGATACGAAAAGTTGTGTCGGTTCTCTTTCATTTTTTCACCTTCGCCGTGAATCTGTAAAGAAAACCCAGGAACCAAATAACCCAACACCCACACTCAGAGACACACCCATTCAATTTACAGAGAGAAAGAAAAAAAAAACCCAAACACAATATTCTCTCTCAGATCCAAATCTCTCATTCTCTCACAGAAGCACGCACATACTGTTATTCTTCACGAGCAAACTGAACGTGCGAGCCCAAAGAGACTGACACCTCCATTCGCGCTCTGCTTCCGAACTCAATTCGCTTCGATCTCTCCACCGCCGAGTCTTACCATCTTCTCTCTGCGGAGCTCCGCACCGACTTCCTCGAGCTCTCGAAAAAATGCCTCTCTTGCTCGACATCAAGCAGAAATTTGTGCAAAGAATCGAACGAGTTAAGTCCTTGGATCTATATCCATCTGAGCCATGGATCCTTGCGAGTCTGTATTCGAGAACTGTGTACATCTTCAATTACCAGTCACAGAGCACGGCAAAGTCTTTTGAGGTATCTGATTTGCCAGTTCGGTCGGCAAAGTGAGAGTGTCAGCGACGAAGTCGTACATCACATTTCAAGGAGCCGGGAAAGATGCGACGGTGATCGAATGGCATGACCGTGCCAGTGACCCTGGACCCAACGACCAGCAGCTCAGAACTTACCAGAATGCCTTCCACGGCGTCGCTGCCCAGCTAAATGAGCAAGAAACCGAGCGGCTAGAGGAGCAGACGAAGTCTTGGTGATTTTCCCAGAGACTAAGTACGAGTTCCACACCACAAGGAGTCCCTGAAATTTCCTGGAGACTAAAACCTCGCCGTAATTCATCTTCGAATTGATCAATCCTACTAGAAACAATGGCGGCTGCCGACGACGGTCTGAAGAAGTTGGAGTACCTTTCCCTGGTTTCCAAAGTCTGCTCAAAGCTCGAAACGCATCTAGGGTTTAGGGACAAAGTTCTGGCGGAAGACTCTGCTTCTGCTCTTGGGAAGATCTACAAGGATTTTCTATTATTAACTATGTTATTATTCTTTGCCATTTTCTAAAAGACAGCAAAAGCAAAGCAAAAAAAAAAAAAAAAAAAAAAAGCAAAACATACATGGCAAAGCACCATGTAAAAGGAGAGATTTTGCATTTACGAGACTTTGCACTGAGAGAGCACATGGGAAACAAAGACAAAAGCAACAAAGGTGCAGAGGAAAGGCAAAAGCAATCAAGTAAGTTGTGGGAAACAAAAGCAAAAGCAAGGAATAAACACCCACGCTGCAAAAGTAAGGAATAAACATCCCACCAGAATGATGAGATTTATTTTCCTTATTTTTGAATGATGTAATTTATTTTTTGTGTCTTTCAGAAATATCTGTATAACCCCATCAGAGGGTAATAAAAAAAATAAAATAAAAACAGCAAGCCCAAAATAATGGGCTGGAATGTTATGTGGAGGGCGAAGGCCCATATGCCCAAAAGAGCCAGGCCCTTTATTATCACCAACTAGGTGATCAAAAGTACGTCCAGTATTACCAAAAATTATTCGGCAGCCTGCCGCTCTTATCACCAACCAGGTGATCAACTCCAAAGTACGCACTCAGTACATCCAAAATTATTATGGCATCGCAGCCCTACCGCATTACTCATCATCATACATGTCAAACAATTCATTACATGAGCATCATCATAACATCAATCATTCATGTCAATCAATACATAGCTCATTCATGTGAATAATCACTCATGACAAATCATACATAAACATGAGCATGCTTCATCAAACATTCACATTCATGAGCAGCATCATCATGTTCAAACATTCATATGAAGCATTCACTCATGTCAGAACATCCTCGCTTTCATGTCACTCAACATAAATTTTCATGTTCATTTCAAACAAGCTTCATCAGAGCTCTACTTCAATAGCTTCATTTATAGAGTTCTATTCTTCGACTCTAGCTTCGAAAGCTTTCATTTATAGAGTTCTCAGCTTCGAAAGCTTTTCATTACAGAATCCTCTATCTAGATTTCAAAAGCTTCAGTTACAAAAGTTCCAGCTTCGAAAACTTCATTTACAGAGCTCTAGCTTCAAAAGCTTCACTGCAAAGCTTCACCTACAAAGCTTCAGCTTCAAGGGTAACAAATACCGCAAAGCTCTGAACAACCGCCACTTCGGCCTATACATAGATTCAATTTGAAGTTTCCAGCCAACAGACTCTAGTGACCGAAGACTTGAGGGACTACATTATGTACCATATATTGGGCCTCAACTGGGCTTCATGAAAAATACTTGAAGAACTTAGCCCAATATTTATGTGTTGAGGAGCAAGCCCTTATTCTATAAAAGGGACTCCCTCACTTTCATTAGAAAGCACCCATTATTCATGTACTAAGGAGCGATCCCTTATTTTATAAAAGGGACTCCCTCACCCTCATTAGAGAGTATCGCCGCCAGCTGAGCAACCGCATCGCCGCGAGTATCACTCATAATCCATTATTCATGTACTAAGGTGCGAGCTCTTATTTTATAAAAGGGACTCCTTCACCCTCATTAGAGAGTATCGCTGCCAGCTGAGCAACCATCTCGTCGTTAGCATCACTCATAACCTATTATTCATGTATTGAGGAGCGATCCCTTATTCTATAAAAGGGACTCCCTCACCATCATTAGAGAACATCGCCGCCTACTGAGCAACCGCCTCGCCGCGAGCATCAACTCTAGCCCATCATTTATGTATTGAGGAGCGAGTCCTTATTTTATAAAAGGGACTCCTTCACCTTCAACGTCACAAGTTGAGCCAACCAAGACAACATAAGCCACAAGCCGAGCAACCTCACAACATGTGCTACTTCTAGTTGAGCATCATTTCACTTTGAACACCGCCTCATATCAAGTATCAACTCAAGACGACATCTAGTTACTTCGACCAACACATGGACTGAATTTCAAGTCTCCAGCCAAAAGACTCTCTTGAATGAAGACTTAGGGGACTACTGTTTATACTATACTGAGGGCCTCCGTATTTAGACCTTGTATAAATACTTGGGGGACTTAAATGTAATTATGTAATAAATGGATAGGAAAATATGTAATAAGTGAGGAGCCCTTATTATATAAAAGGACCCCTCACTCTCCTCATTAAGAGAGGCCAATTCTTAGGCCTGACTCCCACCCTCAGAAGCCTCACTCTCCTATTAAGAGGTTCTCTCTCCCTCATAGAAATACAATATCAGTGTAGACGTAGCCCAAACATTGGGGTGAACCACAATACATCTTGTGTTCTTTACTTTCTTGCAGATTCACGGTCGGATTTACGTTGTTCCAAGACCCCTCCGATTTTGTGCATCAACAAACGGGTATCCATCGGTTATGGGTATTACCCGCGGTTATAACGGGTATCCATTTATCCATTTAATTTAATATATGTAAAATTACCCATTATTTTTCAAAATCTTATTATTATTATTATTTTAATGAAAAGAATTGTTGGAGGGATCAATTTTTGACAATGATAAAGTGTGTATTTATACGTTTAGGGTTGATGAATTCATATGTTTTTTAAATGTTAAACAGTTTCGTGGTCATAACTGATGAACTATATGTTAAATTAATTTATTCAATCGGTTATGGATATTACCCGCGGTTATAATGGGTATCCATTTACCCATTTAATTTAATATAACGGTTATATCGGTTATGGGTATTACTCTGTGATCACTTACATATGTTGGATTCATGCTAATTGGTGTCAATGTTCCTAAATAGGATACTAATTCAATTTATACATTTCTTTTGTATGCCTCTTTTGGTGGCAACGAGTCGATGAGACTTTGTGATTGAATATGCTAAAGCATTAGTGTTCGAAAGTGTTTAGTTTCGGAATATTTTGAAGCTTTGAATCATCTAGTATTCAAGATAATGACTATTTTTTGTTTTTAAAAGCGTTACTTTGTAATCATATGGATTATAATTAAAGACATGCTTGGGTGCGGGAGAAAAATATCGTTCGTAAATTATTATTTCAATTATTGAAATTGTATGAGGACTTAAATGATTAAGATAGGGAAATGCATGCTAAAATGTATCTATAACGATATTTAATTGTCAGAAAACGAAAATTATGACAATTTTTTCTTTTGAAATTTTCAAGTTGTTAAAAAAAACATGTAG